GAAAATTGACACCTTTACGATTGACCAATTCTGGTCGCTTTTCCTTGACCGCTGCATTCAATTTGTCCAGTTGCTAACATTCACGGATAATAAAATATAACATAATAATAATAATAATAATAATAATAATAATTTTATAATATAACATTTACGGATATCATAAAAATGGGAGTGAGAGACATCTATAACTGAAATCGGCAATTACTTAGTTGTCAATCCAATAGAATACATTAAGTAGATATGGGGCACAGTATAGTCCTCACGCAACAAGAAGGTACATTTGTGATTACATTTCCCCTCTTACTAGCTGCCCCACTGACTCAGCTATCGGTCGCTATTGGCCGCGAACGGTAATGAAAATCGCCATCTGCCAATAGCAATCGATAGTTGCGGTAGTAGGGCAGCTAGTAAGAAGAGAAATGTAAACACAAAGGTGCCTTCTTGTCGCGTGAAGACTATAGATGAGGCTCACTGACTCACTGTAACTTATGATCAAAGCAGAGTAAGCAACTCATGAACTTATTTTTTATTTCGATTAATATCTTAAATTCATTTGGATCGTTTCATTTAAAAGAAATGTTTAATAATTACAGAAACCTTAAAGACGCTATAAAAGAAGTCTAAGAAACAAGAAATTGGTGTTTAGGTTTTCAATTTGTTGAGATTGTAAGAAAGAAATTTCCGTTTAGGAATAACAATTACAACGCTCTCTACGTGTAACCAACCGAAAATACTTTCTTGTCAACCCAATATTTGTTAAAATGTCAACTTTGAATTTTAAACTATGATGAAATTTAGTTTGACACGACATCAAGTTAACTTGTAAATATTTTGCAGAATACTAGTTATTAACCACTCAGCTGTTGCAATACTTCTTCGAAAAGTTTATGTGTAAATGTGCTGTTATAACATTGGATTAAGTTGCAATTAAGCAATAAATGAGTGTTTTATTTTTTAATTTTATTACCAACATGTATTTCTTTACTTAGTTTAATCAGTTGTCTTAATTAGTTGTTTTTGACGAGTATACTCGTCATAACACAAAATGTTGCCATATCTTCATGACGAGCATACTCGTCAAAAGCAGCTAGCTAGTCAAATTCTACTTTTCGTATATGTATAATCTATGAATATTTATAACACTTCATGGATGACTATAATACTTTATGGACGTCTATAATACTTTAATGCTGTAATTATTACAGGAAGAATATTATAATACAAATGAAATGAACGATTAAATTTCTTTGCAATAATTTCGCACACAATCCGTTTCTTTCACAGTTTATTTAAAATTCCATACACAATTCTGTTGCTATAAATGTCCCAATTATCGAAGAATATACGATAAACGTTGAAAATATATGTATGTGATTCTCTGCGCGGAACTGATAACCTTTCCTTCTAAGTAGAAGCGAACGAAATGCTGTTCTGCAGATACGAAAGCGAATTCATAATCCGCGAACGGAATATTTTAAATTAGAAAATACTTTTTACCAGTTCAAAACGAAATACTTATCATGCGTTGCGTATAAAATAAATGAATTGCGTATCTAATCTCAAGTTGCAATATACATGATTTAATCAACAGAATTAGCTTCAATCTACGCGATGATTTGATAAATAGTTTAGATAATGATACTATAGTATTTAATTATATTTAAGAAAACGATCCCTGCGATAAGATGGATCGTGAACGCGGTTAATAACCAGGTAAGTTACATTCACATTGTAGATCTGCATTTACATTGTATAAAATTGTATTATTAATATAAAATACATAGTGAAGAACGCTTTATAGACGTAAGTTTCAAAAATGCATGAATTCCTTCAAATTTAAATTCAAATGTTTAATTGCTGAATTTATCTGAATAATACATGTATCAAAGTTTCATTTCGTACGCGTATGAAATTTATAGTTTATTCATTACTGTTAATTAGGACTGTACGAATTCATTCTGTCATACGCGATTAATTGGTACGTCTATTAAATATGATTAGTAGTATGGAGAAGTTAGGAAAATATATAGACCGATTAAATAATAGTTCTGGACTACGATTTTGGGCCATTTTGGCCGAATTATGACTGTACGAGTGCGACGATTTATAATATTTATTAATAGATTTACTTATAGAAGTCACACAAATATAAATATCATATGCCAAAATTGTAAGTAATAGAATATGTTGTATGTTTATTATGATTAATAATATTATACACGTTCGTTCTTTATTTTTTTATATCCTTTTATTTTATATCCCTTATTTCAGGAACTTTTACAATAAACATGGCAACAATCGTTGTATCACATTATAACTTCGATTCGAATGTTTTCAGTTATAATTAATAGTTACATGTACATTGGAGATTTTTATGCAAAATAAAACTGTTCTGCAACTATTATAAAATACAAGAAACAATTAAGAATATCTTCCTTTCTTTTAACAATTTTATTAGAACAAAAGCAATATATTGATACTCTTTAATTCTTCTAATATTTTTATTTTTTCAAATTGCGCCTACTCATTTTTGTCATAAATGCATAAAATATGCAGTCTCGTTGAGCCGTTTATTTTGAAAGTGGCCTAAGTCGATTTTCCAAAAATATTGTGCTAACTATTTTAATATTTATATTTCTCACGTTATGTATATATATTATTATATATTATTATATTATATATAATATATATATATATATATATATATATATATATATATATATATATATATATATATTTTATATATATATTTTTT